ATTAAGTTAAATTAATGTAAATAAGTCCATAAGATGAACTACAGCCCAAAAACACTTTTTAGAGTGAGGTTCTGGTTCTGACATCATTAGAATCTAAACTCAGAACACAGACTCCCCACTGTCACTACTGACGAAATAAACCAAACCCATGACCAGCAGACTGGCCCCGGCCCGAACCCGGTTCTGATGGACCACGGTCTGTTTCTCACCTGAGCATCCTGAGACGTCGCAGACGGCGGCTTCCTTCTGCCTGACGGCCTCGCTGCAGCCCAGACAGGTGAGGGAGGACAGGTGGCCTCCACCTGGGAGCCTGAGGGACAAAACGGCAGCAACATGAACCTGCTCAGCTGGATATCTACTTTGTTTTGGGTCTAATCGTGGTATGAAGGTACCGCCTCAGCAGCGCCTGCATCCAACTGGCGCCGGCGGCCCGGTCGGCCAGCTGTCGGACCGCAGACCTCCTCAGGGCCCGGCCCACCGACAGCCTCTCGCTCAGGATATGCTGGTGCAGGAACCGGATCCTCTCCTGCAGAACACAAAGCCGGGCCGGTCACCTGGAGGTTCAAGTTCCTGCTCTCTCATTCGCGTCGCCGTGTTCTGGCAGCAGGGACCAGAACCACGCCTGTTTCTGCAGCAGGATGCGTGGTGGAGCATCAGCCTCTGTCCCACAGCATGACGGGAACATCTGCTGCTTCTGCTCATCACTTCCAGTTCAGAACTACAACTTTAATCATTAAAAGAAGGACAGAATCCAGTTTTAGGTAAATCATGCAGCATAAGCATTAAACCGGATAAATCCCGGTTAAACCTCGGAGCGTCTCGGTCACGTTCAGACCTGCCTTCGGCCTCCTCCTCTCCAACATTCCTGCTCCAGATTCCTCACATGCCTGTCTGCTCCGTGACCTTTCACCCACAGCAGCTGATCCTCATCTGGAGGCAGAAAGCCTCGAAAACACCCTCAGATAGAGCCGGAGGGGGCGGGGCTTACAGGAAATCTACCTGCCTTCAGGTAGCTGCTGCTAGTGACTCCCACTTGGAGGAACTGATGTTAGCTTGTAGCGCCTGAAGCTACGCTAACTTCCTGTCTAGAGTCCAGACTGAAGGAAGCAGCTGCCAGATGTTTGATTTGAACTGCAGAGTCGGTTTACCAGTTAAACCCAGTCTAGATCTGATTCTGTAAAGCTGCAGATAAACAAACCTATGAACGCAAACAGCAGCCTCACTTCTACGGAAAGCCAGAAAGGCCAAAATCCATACTATAGCCGATTTGGTAAAGAAATATTAATATATGTGACAAAAACTGTAAATATTTAACCCTCCTGCCGTCTAAGCACGACACTCAAGAACAGAAGGAAAGTGATGGTGTCCGTCAGACCATCAGTTCACAAAACCACAAAAAATACATATGTTCTCTACATGATAAATAAAATAAATATTTCAATATGTATATTCAAATATATATTCAAACTGTGTGAGGTGGAAATTTCTGCTGCAGCTGAAAGAAAGTTTAATTTAAAAAGATTTAAACTGATTTATTGCTAACAGCAGCCAACCGGTTGAGACCCAGAACCAGCTGATGTTTGGACGTTTTCTGCAGCATTCTTTACTTTCCGACATGGATAGCCTTCCGTATGGTCAGCAGTGTTTTCAGTACCTGCTCCTGATCCGGATAATAAAAAGCACAGACGATCCGTCTGAGGCGCTGAACAAATCCTCTGAACAGAGAGATGACCACAGCCATACCCAGCAAGAAGCCTGTAGAACCAGAACCAGAACCGGATCAGAACCAGACCGGAACCAGGACCAGAACCAGAACCACAGCCATACCCAGCAGGAGGCCTGCAGAACCAGAACTGGACCAGTTTTAGGTCTGGTCCTGATTCTGGCTCTGGTCCGGTTCTGGTACCGAGCAGGAAGCTGATTCTGTGGTCGGGCTCCTTCGGCTCCACCAGGCACTTCCTGCTGATGACGGTGATGTTTCCTGTCTGGAAGACGTTGAAGGACGCCACCAGGTCTCTGAAGATGTCCGAGGCATAACCCGACCCGTTCACCTGGACCGCCACCTGGTAAGGGGCTGAGAGGATGCGCCGTTACCATGGAGACCACACAACAGCGCCGCGTCACACCCCGCCACGCCTCACCTCTGGCGACCACGTCCACCTCCACCTGGTGGTGCACCTGGTCCAGGATCCAGAAGACCAGGAAGTCCATCGCCACAATCAGGCCGCCCCCCACCAGGTGCCTGAAGACGGAGGCCATCCGCACCAGCACGCGGCGCCGCTCCCGCTGCGTCAGCCGCAGAGACACTGCAGAGGAACGCAGAGCGCTAGCTGCTGCTGCGCCTTCTGGTTAGCGGTACCTGCAGCAGCGGTTCTTACGTGGCGTCACGTAGGTCTGCGTCTCTCTGCGCGTCAGCGGCAGAACCGAAGCTCTGCCCTCCGACGCCACCTGCTGGTCCAGCTGTCTAAACTGAGCGCTAATGTAGAAGTTATCGAAGTGCAGATCCCGCAGGTACCGGCGCTGGTACATCAACGCCCTGGACACACACACACACACACACACGCACAGACACACACAGCAACATACAGTATTCACATAAAAAAGTATTCACATCCTAATGTACAGAAGTTTTAGTAAAAATATACCTACTACAATATAATTTATAATATGCCCAGAGGCGTTTGGCACCGGTTGGTACCATCTACTTTATAAATGGCTCTCATGTGCCGTCACACTTCCAGGAACTTTGTAACTGACAGCCATCTTACTATGGAGTTGCAACTCTATAGCAACGGCATAGCAGTGTAGGGAAAAGCTGCTTGAATTGATCGTATTTAGCAAGCAGTGAAACTGAAGAGGAAGGAGAATTAAACCTCATTTTCTAAATCTTCTGCACATAAAATCTAAAAGGTGCGGCGTGCGTTTGTGATAGCGCTAAATGAAATGTAGCACAGATGTTCTGCTTCTGGTTCTGGTCTCAGAAGTTATTTAGAGAACAACCAGTAGACAGGAAGTAGAAGAAAACCCAAACTCAACTAAAAGCCTGGACAATCATAGAGGACAACCTGTTAGAGGCTGCAGAATACCTGAGACTTCCACAACGTCCTAGTCAAAGTCCAGACCTGAATCCATCCAATCTAAGCTGCTTTATTAAGAGAAAAGTCTGTAGATGTTTAAAACTGATAGGACAAACCCCCAAAAGTTCTCCACTGTTGATTCAGGTGAGCTGAATATAAAGGCACGCCACACTTTTCAGATTTCATTTTTTAAATAATTTTGGAAACTGACGCCACTGACACGTTGGCGTGAGTGGTTCTGAGGCTGGGTGCAGCTGAGCGATGACCTCTGACCCGATGAAGGACAAGCCCAGCAGCACGAAGTTGGTGTAGGCCAGCAGCTGACTCAGCCTCTGGAAATTCTGCAGGTCGGCGGAGATGTCGGCCATGATCTGCTGGGAGACCTGCTGCAGCGTGCGGCTGGCGTTGGCGTCCACGTCGAAGCTCACCGTGGACGAGAGGTTGAAGTCGAACTCACGCATCATCTTCCTGAATGCAGCAACCGTGGCTGAAACAGGCGAGAGCGGTTAGGCTGCGGCGGCGGCGGCGAGCAGCAGCTGCAGGTGCAGGTCACTCACGCTCCGCCAGGCGCTGCTTCAGGTGGGCCGCCACGTACGACGGGATGATGCAGAACAGCTCTCCGGCTGAAACGCACCAAAATTATTTATGATAATCAATAAATCAGTTAATCACATGATGAATTAATGCAAACTCAATTTGCATGATTTGTCGTTTTTCTCTCGTCTCTGGATGATGAAAGTCTTCAGTCTGCTGCTTTGGTCTCAACTATTCCTTTCTTTTGAAGGACCATTTGGTTTACAGAGATTTCATCATTTATTTTATTTGCACTGTAAAAATAAAAAATCTTACCAAGTAAATTTGATCTAGTTTCTAGTGCAAGTATCTTACTACAGCTGAAGTAACTCAAAACTAACTTACAAGTAACTTTTCGGCTTGTTTAAATTCATTGTTTAAAATTGATGAAAAAGTTCCAGTTCCATTGGCAGATAAATTTGCTTATAACAAAACATTTTTCTGCCAATAACCTGCCATCAATTATCAATTTTCATCAATATTAGAAAATTATTGACTTAAAACAAACTGAAAAGTTACTTATGATTTAGTTTTGTTTTATTTCAAGTGTACTAAGATATTTGCACTAGAAACTAAACCAAAAATACTTGGGAAGATTTTTGTTTTTGGAGTGTGTTGTTTCTGTTGTTTTGTTTATTTCATTAGCCTCGGGTAAACTGGTGTTAGCCTTGTATTGGTTAGCATTAGCCTCGGATAAACTGGTGTTAGCCTTGTATTGGTTAGCATTAGCCTCGGATAAACTGGTGTTAGCCTTGTATTGGTTAGCATTAGCCTCGGATAAACTGGTGTTAGCCTTGTATTGGTTAGCATTAGCTTTGTACAGACTGGTGTTAGCCTTGTATCAGTTAGCATTAGCCTTGGTTAAGCTGGTGTTGGGCAGTAGGAAGTAGGAAATTCAGTGGGTGACCACCCTAGCTTTGCCAGGCACTAACCTCTCAAAGCTAGCGCTAGCCAGTGGTTTCCTTTTCTTTAGCTAGCACCAGTGTCTAGCTAAAGACACTGGTGCTAGCTAGTGAATAGACGTAGCAGGAGGCTATGTCTATTCTGAAGATCAGTAGCTTCAGAATAGACATAGCCTCCTGCTACAAGGACGTAGCCACTGCTGGGTGAACAATAGTTTTAATTTTGGCACTAAAGGCACCTAAGTGGAGGCAATTATTTAAAGGAAGTGATGTCAGTGAATGCACCACGAGCGAGGTTGCAAAGCGGCAGGAAGGCGTCTACGATTTCACAAAGGAAGTTGAACTCCTTCAGCAGGTTGTTGCAGTCGGTCCGACCCTGGGCAAACAGATCCCGGCACTTCCTGTACGGAGCACCCATCTTATCATTGCAGATGTCTCCAATGTCCACCAGGAAGTGAAGGACGTTCCTTAGGGTCCGAGCTGTGGGGTCAATTATCACGTTAATTTACACAAACAGACCTCAAAACAAAAAGACGAGGCAACCAAAACCTGACGATAATGATGGAGGACCTTTGATCACTGCACATATTTTTGTTGTCTAATTGTGTAGAGAAGGATAAACGTGACTGACCAACATGGCGGACGCTGTCTGTCAGAGTGTTGATGAAGTTTTGGACTCTTCCTGCCACGGCGTACGCGTTTCTGCTGATCTTTCTGATTTCATCAATGGCAGCTGCAAACAAACCCAACAAATTATTCAGTTTATTCTGAAGAACCTGTGTAAATATTTTTTATTAATTTTAAAGGGGACATATGATACAAAATCCACTTTTTCAGCCTTTAAATACATTTTGTTGTGTACTTGGCGTGCAGGAAAGTTCAGTGCAGTGATGCATAGATCTCTTTATGTTCTGTTTGGGTCATATTTTTCAATCTGTTCAGCTTTCTCTATTCTCTTCTATGATTTTTTTGGCTCTAGTGGCCTCCATCCAACAGTTAACCGACAGGAAAGTGGGCAATGAGAGAAGGGGGAAGACATGCAGCAAAGGTTGCCAAGGCCGGGAATCGAACCCACGACAGCCACGCCGAGGACCAAGGCCCCCACAAGTGGGCCTTGCTCAACCCCTGTGCCACCACAGCACACCCTCTTCTGTGTTTTAAACTATTATGTCACAGAACATGGACTTCCAGCTAACTAGTTTTCTTGACTCCGATATTTTTATTTCTCGCAGCCATTTTGTAGTCAAAATTAAAGGAAGCTACAAGTAGATAAATCAAAATGTGCAGTTGCTGTGTGTTTTACTGCACACAGTTAATGTTGATATGACGTTCCAGCCGTCCTAGCAGTAGCATTGTGCGCTCTGCTTGTGTTAGCATTGTGTGCTATCTTAAGCTCCTTGGGACATAACTGTTCACTTTGAATAGCATCATTACATAAACAGTTTGGCATAGTTTTTTTGCCGTTTTTCTCTTGAGGAACACAGGATCCAAATGCATTCAGTGACATTTTTAGCAATAGCATTAGCTAACTTGCTAACTAAGCTGTCATGTTTACCAATCGTGTTCATTCATGTGGTGGTAGCATTTTCTGACTCTAACACGTAAGTGCTGGATGAACAAGTCTACCGCTGATGGTATCGTTTAATCAATTTGGGAATAAAAGGTTCGTGCCTGGAAGGGGTGGGGCCTAAACTAGTCGTCACGTCGCGCTACAATAACGAGGATTTCAGACCAAGGTATCACAGTTCCACTTTATACAGACCACCACTGAATGATTTAGATGTCAAAAGGATTTAAAAGCATGATATGCCCCGTTAATGTCAGATGGTTTCTATGCAAGGGGCGTGTCTTACAGGAGAGAGGCGTGGCCGCTCTCTGCATCAGCTCTTTCGTCTGATTGGCTGCCAGATCGGCGCTACACAGCAGGCTGGCAGCAGCCCGCTCCGTGTTCTCCACCGTGTTCTTCATGGGCCCGGACACCACCACCGACACATACAGGAACAGGACGACGCGGGCTGGACCAGAAGAAGACCGAACAGCTTACTAACAACGTCCAGCTCCGATAGATTCAGGTGAATGCCTCTGACTCACCTGAGAACAAAGTGGGCAGCATGACCATGACGTTGGCCCGGAAACCTATTGACACCCCCATGCCAAACGCGGTGAGCCCGGCCAGGATCAGCGTGGAGATGACGCAGAACTGCAATGGCTGTTTGTGCACCAAGAAGCCCAGCAGTCCATGGATAAACACCAGCAGAAGGCCAAAGAGAAACGCCACCAGGCTCCGCCCCGCCTGCACCAGCTGGGGCCCGAGTTTCTTCCTTCTGCGGCGAGCGCGCCCACCGGACCTGGAAGTACCGTTAGCAGAGTTCATCATGGGCTCCATTAGGTTTTGCTCTCTTGCCACCAGATCTACAATCTCCAACATGTGGAGATGAAAAGTTACGATCCGCCAACAGGATCTGAACACGGCTCCATATCCAAAGAAATTCTTCCTCCATGTTTGAGCAATAAAAATTAAATCACTGAATGAAAAAAACAAAGGGTTCCTGGACTGGTATCTAGCCGTAAGCTAACAGTTAGCAGCTACATATTACGCTAGTGTCAGATGAACTGCCTCAGCACGGTTTGACCGAAGGAGGCCAGCCATGGGACGGTTTTAGGCATTATAATGTCAAAATAAACAAATTGCATGAAAATGTCAAATTTGCACAGAAATCTAAGACAATCTATTTACAGTTTATCAGCAAAAAAATCTCACTGTAACTGTCTTAAGTGTTAGCTTTATGCTACATAGACCTGGCTAGTAACTCGTTAGCTTTACTCAGACAGCTTCAATGATTACAGCTGGAAACTAGAGATCATGTTGAAATCAGGGTTTAGTGATGAACTCTGACCTAAACCTTCACATAAAGACGTTTACAAAGTCGGCCTTCTATCACCTGAACATTTCCAGGACTAAAGGGCTAATGTCTCAATAAGATCTAGGGAAACTCATCCATATACACTCGTGCATTAAAGATCTGTTGTCATTATGTCAACCTTCCGGATCTGAACCAGAACCAGAACCACATATGGAGAAGCAGCATTCAGCTTCCATGCACCATGAATCTGGTACAAACTTCCAGAAACATGAAAAACCAACGACTAGGAGGACTCTGAAGGACACAGTTCCTTCAAGGCGCACCAGTTTAGAGCTGCCTTTGATCAATAACTGGAACATTGATTTATTTTAATTGTTTTTAAACGTTTCACTTATTTTGCTGCTGTAACTTAACATTCGCCGTCTGTTTTTATCATGCAAGGATTTCGAACCACCTGTAAGAAGCTTCAAAAGTTTTATTGCAAAACGTGTTCATTTCTGCCTCAATTTTTAATTTTGTAAAGAAAAATTTAACTGTATTGTATCTGTTTTACATTCTTTAGTCCTTAAAATGTCAGAATTTGCACATAACTTTATACTTCTGTCTGATCAGGTATTTTTAGCATATTAAATAAGACGTTCTATCAGTTAATTGAGTAACATTTTTAGCAAAGGTACTTTAACTTGTAAGTGGCGTCTAAGCGGCCCCACATCACCTCAACCCTCGCACCACCAGGGCCAGGGGCCGTTTCTGTTCAGGTGTCTTTTGACTTCCCGCTAACGTAATGCTAAGTAGTTTTCAGCTTAGATGCTAACCTGTAGCTTTATGCTAACTACCTGTTCAGGGATCTTCCGAGTGTCTGTGTGGCTCCGCCCCTCACCACCTGGACAGCGATGTCCCTATTCAGCAGGTGCCGTTTCTCCTCCTCAGGTCCCATCTTTTTAATTTCAGACTCCTTAGCGCCGGCTGACCAACTGAAACCGGTTGCCATGGAGACCACGGGAGCTTCCGGAAGCTCAACAGTTTGTTAGAGCTTCTAACTGATGGAGCATCGTGACCCGCAGAGACCTTCAGCTCTTTCCTGATTCGCAGAAGACCTGCCCGGCTGCCTCCTTCAGGTGTGTGGGGTCCCTCTGATGGGGTGGAGGTCCGTCCAGCTTCCTGAGGGCAGCCGGAAGGCCCTGGTCGTCAGAGGCCTGTTCGGCGCGGCGGGCGGCTCAGGTAAACCGTTCAGCTGGAGAGCAATTAGTAACAGAACCTGCCTGAAAATACCAGAAATTTAAACTTCTCTCCAGTCTTCATCGTTTCTGTGACGTTTATGTGTACAGCTATGATGTAAATAACAAAGAGAGAACAAAGAGAATAATTCGGCTAATATAAAAATAAGTGGTTAGTTGTTATTCCCACTTGGTGACCATGGAGAGAGATCATGGCGGAGAACTGAATATTTACAACTGTTTGGTTTGACACATTTTTAATGACTTCATTTTGAATGCTTTAATGTTAGTCTGACGTTTTTATTTCAACAACTACATGTTTTCTTTTTCTTTCGTTTTTTATAATTGCTACTAAATTGCTCTTAGGATTTATTCATTATGTCTTTTGACTAAATTATATTTATTTTCCAAATGTTTCTCTGTGTTTGATGTTCTACAGTTCTTCTCATTCATTATTTCACATTAAAAAAACATTGTTCTTTTGACTAATCTGCTGATTTTTTAAATCTCGGACAGTTGTCCAGATGTGTAACCATAGCAACAATCTTGGGTTTAAGTTCTTTTTTATACAACCAGCTGATTTTGATTGTATAGTTTGAAAACTTTATAGCTCCAATAATATACTCCTCATGTTTGAATAGTTTAATATCATGTTATAACCAAAAAGTTTTAAATTTTTACTGTATAAAGAATATATTATTGAACATGAATATGTTGTACAACATAAAATTATTTGGTTGAATAATGTTTTCACATTAAAAACATACCTTTCATTGTCTGAACACAATACTGTATTATACTAAATGTGAATTATTTTACTTTCATTTTATTCCTTATGTTTGCACAATAGATGATCACATTCATACAATATAAATATTGTAAAATTATTAAAAGTTTTTTTCTAGTGTTAGATATTTAGTGTAAGAACATCATAATATGTTGTACAAACATAAATCATATATTGTTACAACAAATACATTTTCACAAGTGACATCACTCTACTTCCCTTTTGTCTGGATGGCAGCTTTCTGCTTCCGTAGCTGACTAATTATTCAAAAACTCAAATTATTTCAGTTTTTCAGAACCAGTCTGAAAAAAGAGAATGGAGCTCTAATTTAAAAACAATTGTGTTAATTTGTTACATGTCATCAAATTAAGTTTGTCAAACATACTTTATTTACAAGACAACTGAATAAACTTAATTGGATTACATGTAGCAAATTAACATTTTTTAAGTAGGGTTTTCATTCTCTTTTTTCAGTGTATGGTTGTAAATCCCAGATTCTCAGCGAAGAAGAAAATTCAAACCGTCTCTTCCACTGATCATGAAGGTTCTTCTGAGATGTTTGGCAAACAGGATGGATGAACTGCAGCGGAAATGTGTGTTTGCCCGACTCTTTTTAACCAGGTTTTCACATTATGTAAAAGAGACATAAAAAGAAAATACAGGAGATTCTCATAGTAGTAAACAAATGAAAAAGCAAAATGACTTTTAAAGTACTCGGCTAAAAACATCTAAAGAGGAAAATAAAAACAATTCACTCTGAATCTCATAAAGATGGAATTAAAGTAATAAAATCTATTTTGTTGTTTACTGTGCTTTAGTTTTGTACCTGGGATGTGCCCACAACTTACCGCTGACCTTTGACCTGAAACTGGCAGTAGGGTTTGCATTTGTTGGTGAGGAGACGTCAGACTCACATTCCTCCTTCAAACCACATCCTGATCAGGTGAACACAAATGTGTGTGTGTGTTTCAGGTGTGTGTATCGTAGGTGGAATCCTGTCCTCGTCCTTCAGGTGTACCATCCTCCTCACGTTACCCAGCATCCTCGGCTCTCGTGGCCGTTCCTACCTCATGGTTATGATTGTGATGATTCTGTACAGAGGTACACACACACTCGCACTCACACACACACACGCACGCACTCACTCACACACACTCACACACACACGCACTCACTCACTCACACACACACACACGCACTCACACACACACACACACACACGCGCATGCACTCACACGGACACACACCTACACACACACACTCTGCAGACTCTCCTGCTGTAGCTTCTGATCAGTTAGCCGTCTGTAAATCATTCCTGCATCTTTTCACCACAATCCTGGAAATTAGTTTATATGGAGGTAAATTTGTTTCACAATTATTCAATCAAAAAAACTAATCTCAATTTAAAAAAAAAATAAAATTGTGTTCAAAACTTTTGGAATTGTAATGATTTTTTATTTTAAAGAAACTTTTTTTAAATTTAAAATCACTAATTTTTGCCTACTGAAGTGAAAAAGTTATTTGCAGAACATAAAGTTTTATTTGCGCATGTCAGAATTTTTTGGTTGACAGCCTAAGTTTTTGGTTGTGATTCTGAAAGTTTTGTTTGATGCTCCCTTGTTTTGGTTGAACTCAACCAGTTTTGCTTGCGAATCTCAGTGAGCATCCTGGGCGGGGCCTAAAGACGACGTAAGACGTGTTCCGATTGGTCAGCGCTGAGCAAAGCGGATGGCTCCGACTCCCTGCTACCTCTGAACTCTGTCCCGAACTGCAGGGCGTTCTGCTTCGGTGGCAGGACACAGAATGTGAATGGCAAGAGAACTTCACCAAATGACTTACCATTCAAGTCATTTGGTGAATAGTAAGTATCCCTGAAGTGTCTGAGGACACTGCAGCAGCTGCTGAAGAGTCCATCCTGTTTTCAAAGAAGAAATCTTACACAACTTATGACGGCAGTCACATAACTTCAGGATGTTCATGAGAAAATCTCAAGCAAAGAGTTCAGACATGCCCAATAAAAGTTTATGTTTTGCACAAAACTTTTTCACTTCATGAGACAAAAATTAGTGATTTAAATTTTTTTTTTAAATAGTTTAAACAAAACTTTTTTCATTTAAAACAAAGGATTAGAATTCCAGAAGTTTTGACCACAATATTATTTTTTTAAAATTGAGATTAGTTTTTTTTGTTTTTGTTTTTGATTGATTGAATAATTGTGAAACAAATTTACCTCCTCAAGACATGAGCGAATCTCAGGAGTTGTGCAAACATTTTCTGCACCACTAGGTGTCACTGTGCTGCAGTGAGCCTCCGTCATTCCAGGGCCATGAAGTTTGTTCAAAAATAAAAAACAATTGAAACAGAAAAAAGTTTTGAAACTGAAAGAAGTTGGAAACTGACAAAAAATATATTTGAAACTTAAAAGAAGTTCAAATCTACTTTTCAGATTTTTTTTCTTTTGAACAATCTTTTTGGCCCCGTTTGAGCTCCGTACCTGTGACTTCCTGCGCTGTCCCATCTATCCATCTGCAGGTCCGATCTCGAACATGGAGCGGAACGCCGAGGCGGCGGCGCTGTCGCTCAGCTGCAACCTGGACCTGCAGGTGCAGCACAGCAGGGTGCTGTGGCGGCTCGCCGCCAGGCCCTTCCTGCTGGTTGCCAAGCAACTGATGGTGAGGTGGGGGGTCGCCATGACGGCAGGTACACAAACAGTCACTGCAACGTAACAGGAAGGCTGTGAATAAAAACTCAGTTAAGGTGCAGAAGCAGGGATTGGATAAGTGGAACTGATCAGGAAGCTGCTGATCAAATGTATTGATTAATGCAGGGTGTCCAAACGTTTCCTCACATCAGCCCCAATCATCATGTCAGAATCACTCATAGGACTAAAAATCTAATAATTTTAAAAACTATAATCTCAAAGTTGTATTATATTTTTTCCCAAGCTGAACAATAAACTAAGCAGTAAATTGTTGGGTGTTTTAAAAGTCAGCGATGCATAAATTATTCTACATCTTAAAGTTAGAAGGCGCTTTACTTGTTTGCCTTATTAAAATATGGATATAAATTTAAAAAATAGAATATATTTCATGTATTCTACGCAATTAGGCCAGGATTTTTGTGTCTTCTTTAAAAAGAAAGCTTACAGTATTAATTCATTATTGAGAAAATGATTTGTTTAATCAGATTCTGCTTAGTTTGTATTATTTACTGTGAAATCAAAAAGGAAGTGAAATATCTGGTTATTTTTATTCTATCAGAAATTATTCTGCCCTCGTTAAAAACAAAACGTCTCCACGTGTGTCTACCACCAGCCCGGTCTGGGTCCATGTTTAACTGCAGCTAGGCCCCGCAAATTCAGCCCATGGACTGCGAGCGGCCCGGGAGCCGCACTTTGGACATCCTGCTTCATGTTTATTAGAAAAACAAAACTGTAAAACTGGCCAACCTGAGGACCATTGATTAGGCCAGGACGGCCCGGTTCTGCCGGGTTCTGCCGGGTTCTGCTGGGTTCTGCTGGGTCTCTGTAACGGACCCTTCTCTGTGTTTTCCTCTCAGAAAGATAAAGTGGAGTTTGAGTCGGACTCTCTGGACATCAGTAAGAAGTTCCAGAACATCCGGGACGAAGTTCTGCTGCAGTACGGATATGATCCGATCCAACAGAAACCCGGCGGCGCCGCCCAGGGAAACAGCACCCAGGAGCAGTTCGCCTCCAACACCAGGAGGCGCTGTGACGGTGAGACCGACCTGCAACTGGTTCTGGACCTGGTGTTGGACCCGGTTCTGGACCTGGGTCTCTGCAAACTCTACACTTTGTCTGAATCAGATTTTTAAAGGCAGGACAGAAGAAGATGTTGGAACCAGGGCGCCACCTAGAGGAAACAACCAGAAAATAGTGATTTATAAACGATAATGGAACATATTATCACCAGATCTGGTTTATACGATGGAGTGTTCGGACCAGAACAAGAAACAAATATGTAAAGTATGAGAATCACATTGGTAACACTTTATTTGAAGGGGTGTGCATAAGACTGACATGATTTGCATGATTTTGTAAATTATGATAATTTAATGCAAAGTTGGCATTTTTAATGGACATTTAATGCAACTTTTAGAGCAACTTTGCATTAAAAGTGTCATTATTTACTGAATGACACTTCATGTCAACAGTCATAAACATTCGGGGAGCCTTATTGATGCTCATGACAGGTGTTATGTTTTTGACAGGGTCATGTCAGTCTTATGCACACGTCTTCAAATAGAGTGTTATCATAACGGCATAACACCAGGAGAAACTCGTTCTGGTTCCTCACGAGAATAAAGTCACATGACTCCAACATGAAAATCATACTAATATTGACATTAAATGAGATGATCTTGTAAAGTTATACTTTGGATTCAGTTTTACAAACAACCTTAATCTGTTCACACATCAGCATCAGATTATTATTGGACTTTGAATCGATTGATCAACAGCTGAAAAGAGGACAGAACCACGAACTGGACGAGCTGCTCACGTCTTCATGACTCCATCAAGCTTCTCATTTTCTAGAAATTTTATTTCTTTCTTATGCCCACTACTATGACTTTATCGTCATAATATCATAACTGCTGTCGTAATTTAAAAAGATTCTCTTAGTCTGGCCCCTAATACTCTGTCGTAGTTAAAACCTCTTTTAGGGGTTTCCAGTGGCGGTTTCTAATATTGGCAATATGGGCAACCGCCCAGGGCGGCATGAGCGCTAGGAGAGGAATGCTTCTTTCTCCTAAATATGGAGCTTTGAAACCAGTGGTCATTTCTCCATCTGTAACCTGGTCCAGACCAGCGGTTCTGATAGAAAGGTTCTGTTAGGGTGCATTCACACCCTGTTTAGTCTGCTTTAATCAGATTCTAATTCTTTTGTCTCGAAAGTGCGATTCGTTTGGGAAGTGTGAATGCAAATTTGACTTCCAAAACGGACTGAAAAACTGAACTCTGACCCTCCTGAAAACCTGGGCCTCGGTCCGGCTGAAGTGAACTCTGAAACGGTTGGAAAGCAGTGTGAATGTAAGCGGGTCAGAGACTGCTCCAAAAACAGGAAGCTAACTGCAGGGCATTCTGGGTAATATATTCCTCTCTGATCTGCGGGAGATGCAGCTGCTGTCATGTTAAAACCTTCAGTGACAAAAACTGGACTAATCGCCTCGTCTGTTTGAATATAACAATCATCAAATAGGATAGGATGACATATTTCAAAAAGCATAAGAGTAATGGTTTGTTACAATTTGACAAACTAATTTTAACAGCAGCATTTATGTAATATTAAATATTGACCAATACAAAATAGCAATTTGCTTAGTCCTCTCTTGCTTCTTGAAAGAAACCAAACTGTTTATAGATTGATATCAAGGGAAAATACATATTTTACATATCAAAACATTCCTCAGCTTTAATTTAAGCCATATTTATAGAAATCTGGTAAGAAATAAAGGCGCTAAGATCATTTTTGTGACAGATTCCTGCTCATCCTGCATTGGAACAGTCTGGTGTTGTGGACAGACTCACCGCGTAGCAACGCCGCCTGCAGGAACGTTGCTAGCATTAGTGGCTAACAGGCGATGTGCAAACTAGTAATGTAACAATGAAGCCAAAATCTGACACCGCTCCATTTTTGTTTAAATTTTGTGAATTAGAAAGTTGGGCTGGTCTTCTTCAGATGTTTTGTGTCAATTCATTCAGTGATTGTTGGTGCAGCGCCCCCACAGGCGACGGGGGGAACAGTTTTGACACAGTGCAGTATGAATGTAAAACAGCTCTGAAAATGTTACAAACTTTGCAATTTTGGCCCCCAATCGGACGCAGTCTACTGGACGGTCAGACGTGAAAACACCCTTAGAGCGGTTCTGTTAGAGCTGTTCTGTTAGAGCGGTTCTGTGTCTGTGAAACCCTTCTGTGCTCAGGTGTGGTGAACGAGGGCATCCGGCGCTGCGCTGGTTGGTTCAGGCAGAAGTGGAGTGAGTGCATGAAAGCCATTCCTGTTCCCATCATCAACCACATCCTCTGTGTTTCAATGAAATTCGACTTCCTGTGTGATGTCATGAGAAGTGAGTTTCTGTATGAAAAGTAAATTCAAACTTATTTCTGCTGACCATTTTATTTAGCCTGAAATAGAAGTGGAAAGAGGCATAAAAGCCTCCAGTTTGGCTAGCATTAGCGAAAAACACAGTTTGTTCTAAAATGTTAGCAGTGCTAACCGTAAGCACTAATTACAAATGCTAGTTCTGCCAGTGGAGGGCACAATTCCTCTATTTCACTAATAGCAAGCTAATTTTTAGCCTAGCACTTTAGCATTTTAGCTAACGTTGAAAACATTTATCATGCTTAGCTTTCCCTAAATTAATTTTCTTCTTCAGCACTAATTTACTTGCCTATTTTATAAACTTTCAGTTGAGTACATTTTGACACCTGTGCTGAAATTTTGGTTGTAAACTGTTAAGAATCTTTCTAGTAGTTAGATGTTTATATTCATGCTCTTATTTTGAAGTGGTTGAAGACAGCAATTCCATTTCCTCTTCTCGTGTTGTCTCTCATTTTTAAAAAGAAACTTTACAGAACAAATGGCAAGAATTAAAACAAATTATGACATACACAGACAAATACACAGACATGCATTAATACATATTTAGCAATTGTTTTGAGAGCAACCTCACATTCTCCACGTAAACAGCTTAAAGTTAGCGCGTTAGCATTAATGGAACTAAGGTTTATGATTAGTGCCTTAAGGTCAGTACAGCAAACATCTTACTTAGCAAAGCGGTGAGTTCTACTAATGCACTACACATAGCTCTAACATGATATTTAGCTAATGCTAAAGAGCAGTTCAAACATGGTACTCAGTAGAAGCTAACGTTAAAGCGCTATACAAACACATTATTTAGTGAAAGTTGAATCTAATGCTAAAACGCTAATGAACATTTACAAAACAGCCAAGGAAATTAGTGGTTTGGAATTTATCCAACAAAATCTATTCAGGGGAAGCTAGGTATGCTAAATGTTTTCAAAGTTAGCAAAAATGCTAAAGTGCTAAACTAAAAATTAGCTTCGCTCTTACCTGGTTAGGGGATTAGCAGAAGCGTGTCCATCATTGGATGCAGCAGTAGCATCTTCACCTTCAACCCTTCCAAGCAGCCATACTGGTTCAGGGTGATGACCTTTAACCTTTGACCTGGTAACCTTTGACCTGTAACTGTCTGTGTCTCTAACGGCTCTGTTCCCGTCTGTCAGTCATGACTCCGTGGTGCAGGGAGCAGATTCCTGTGGAGAGGAACTTCGGTCAGCTGTACGATCGGCTCAACATTTCCATGGATCGTCTCTCCAGAGAGTTCCGCACCGAGGTCATGGTCCAGGTCAGAACCACCAGAACCACCACAACCACCAGACCCACCAGACCCACCTGACCCACCAGAACCACCACAACCACCAGAACCACTGGACCAACCAGAACCAGCAGACCCACCAGAACCAGCAGACCCACCAGACCCACCGGACCAACCAGAACCACCACAACCACCAGAACCACCAGACCCACCGGACCAACCAGAACCACCTGACCCACCAGACCCACCTGACCCACCAGAACCACCACAACCACCAGACCCACCAGACCCACCTGACCCACCAGAACCACCACAACCACCAGAACCACCAGACCCACCAGACCCACCAGAACCACCACACCCACAAGAACCACCAAACCCACC